AGGAGGAGGTCAAAAGAACAGTCCAGGGACGATTTTCGGACCCTTTTCGACTATGTTTGCACATGTTTTGGGGCTCTGTTGCATTTTTCTCCCAAGATCCGCCTGTACCCGACCTGATTCCAGGCCTCCTAGAGGAGGTCCGAGTGGATGGGGTCGCAGGGTTCGGTAGCATCAAAGAACTCAAAAACAAAAGACATATAAAGTTTGGGCGCTCCGCGCGAATTTCTTGGATCCGCGCTGGGCCCCCCAGGCGGCGCCTCCGGCGCCGCTCCTGGCGCGCTCCGCGCGCCAGGAAGAGGGGTCCAGCGCAGATCCAAGAAGTCCACGCGGAGCGCCAAACATTTATGTGTGTGGCGTATTCCTTCTTTCATGGATGGGTCGGAGGATTCGGCAGCAAATCAACGGAGCCTGGTATGCCCTCGGGCTTCCGACTTTAGAGGATGCATCAGCGCCGACTCGCGTTTGGCAATCGATGAGATAGCGCCGAATTAGCGTCGATCAGCGTCGAGTCGTATCGATTTAGCGTCGATTAGCGTCTGTTAGCGTCGATCACCAAGAGACAGCAAGCCGGCATGGGAGGCTCCCGTGACTTGCCACAGAAGGAGGTTCGCGCCGCATCGCCGATGCATCGGCGATGCGGCTCGGTGTGGGGCCCGTGTACCCCCACGCGGACGTTGCGGATGCAGTGTCGACGTCTCCGACGCATCGCCGATGCATCGGCGATGCGGCGCGATCTTCCAGCCCCATCTGCTCGGATCCTCTTAGGGGAGGTTTCTTCTGCTGTTTGCGCCGATGTGGCGCTGGCCAGGAGGGCGCATACCCACACGTCCGACGATCCTCTTGCTCGGCCAGCGGCTCCTCCTCGAAGCCGGCGCTCGGCATCAGAAGTGGAGCCGGGCCCAAAAGCTGCCCCCAGGGGCACGGTCTGGACCTCGCAGGGCCGCGGTTGGAACAGATCATGTCGGCGGATGCCCGAGGAGCCAAACGCCATCCGATGCTCCACAGCGTGGCTCTCCAGAGCTCATCCCGACCTTCTCCCCGGGACTGGCTTTGCTCCTCCCGAGGCTTCTCGTGGACGGCCCCCTGGGCCCAGCGAGGGCCCCCCAGGAGTCCGAGAGCAGCCCGAGCCTCTTGCCGTGATTTTTGTGGACGGTGCGAGGGGGGCCTGGGTAACCTCTAAGGGTCTCTAGTTTTGAACTCCCCCACCTTTTCACTCGGCGGTGACTTGGACTGGTCCTACCTAAATCCTCCTCCTCTCTCTCCTCCCTCCCTCCCTCCTCCTTCTCCATCCTCCCTCCTCCTCCCTCCTCCTATCCTCCTCCTCCTCCTCTCCTGCTCCTCCTCCTCCCCCTCCTCTCCCTCCTCCCTCCTCCTCCTCCTCTCCTCCTTTCTCCTCCTCTCCTCCTCCTCCTGCCCCTCCTCCTCCTCCTCCTCCTCCTCCTCCTCCTCCTCCTCCTCCTCCTCCTCCTCCTCCTCCTCCCTCTCCTCCTCCCCCTCCTCCTGCTCCTCCTCCTCATTAGGCTGGGCCCAGATTGGGCCGATCGCTGGCCCGGGAGGGGCCCGGCCAGGACGGGCTGTGCGGGTGTAGTCCCACGGTCAGGAGTTTTGAGTTACAGTTGTCTTGGCCTCGCTCGGAGGCGTGCGTGTTCCTCGGCGGGGACCATCGGAAGCATCCTGGGTCGTCTCGCGAAACGTGAACGCAGGAGGCGGGAGAATGCACGGGGAATGACCGTCCGATGTAGGCAAGGTGTCGTGCCTTTGGTTCTGCCCCACCGCGCTTCGGCGCGGCACGCTTACCACGCCCCGGTCACTAGGCGTCAGCCTTCGAGTCTTTCCCTGCTTCCCATCCCGCGGAGCGGAGCGACACGCTGTTCAACCCTTTCCCCAGGGCCGCATTTGCATCCCGAGTTGTTGTGTGATTGTTTCGGGGCCCAGTGAAGACCCCTGGAGGCCGAAACAGGCAAACGCCGCCCGTCGTGGTGGTTGTCACGACGTAAGGGTGTCTGTGCTGCGTATCCGCTTGCAGGGCATGGCGTGTCGCCCAGACCGCCGCCGCGACACGCTGAGCAAACGTTCTTTACCGCAGCTGGTGCCCTCGCATCCCCAGGGCCCCAGCGTGCGGCGCCGCGGCGACGACGACAAGCAGGTTCTTTCGGCGCCCTAAACCAGGACACTGCTGGCCAGGCCTTTGAAGAGTCCACCTGGAGAGCACGAAGAAAGGATAATGTGGTGGCCGACGGCCGCAGCCTGCCCGGTGCGCCGGTGTCCTGGTTCATCCAAGTCCCCGATTATCGGGGGCGGAAAAGAGGGGGGTGATGACTAGGGGGGGTGGATATCATGGCGCGGGCCATGATATTTCCCGAGATTTCGTGGCGCCTCTTCTTATTTCATTACGTCCCTGGCCCCCCCGCTGGGCCGCGCACGTGCCGCCAGTCATGATTTTCACCCCCCCCTCTTGGACACCCCCCTCTTGGCCGCTCCCGAGATTAGGTCGACGAAGCATACTGCATAAGCATAACCGTTCGGAGCTCCGTGCGGATTTCTTGGATCTGCGCCAGGCCCCCCTGGTGGCGCCTCCGGCGCTGCCCCTTGCGCGTGGGGAAGGGGGGTCCTGCGCAGATCCAAGAAGCCCGTGCCGACCTCCAGGAGTCCCCAGACATGCGACTCGGAACTTTTCCATACGCGGTCCCTGGGAAGTCCCGACCCTTTTCTCGGGGTCGGTTTCTCACATCTGGCCGTCGCTTGGCAGTCCCAGGGCCCAACGAGGGCCCCGGCTGGGAGGCCGGAAACAAGTCACAACCGTGCTGCTCGCACCTCTCTCGGAGTAGCCTAATTGGGCATGAAGCATCGCGCGGGCTCGCGTGCTTTCGCAATCAGACAGTTGCGCTTCTACCAACGCTACGCCACTCATTTCTAGTTTTTGTTTTTTCATTGGCGTTTTGTCGCCGAAAGCTTCGCCAGTAGAATGTCACTACTGAAACAAGTCACAAATGTTCCCGTCCTGATTTTTGTTCAGGACGCGAGCATGTCTGGGTTGTGCTCATGCCGTTTTCTGTTCCTATGGTTTGGGGGGGGGGGGGCCAGAGGTCCTGCCGGTGCCCGTGCACGCCGTGCCCGGCTGGGACCCCAGGCTGGCACTCGCCGCGGCCCGAGGTGGGGGCGTCCAGGAGGAGGAGGAGGAGGAGGAGGAGGAGGGGGGGGGAGGAGAAGGGGGGGAGAGTGGGACCGAAAATCAGTGGACCTTGAGGACGGTATCTTGTGGTCGTCGAGCTCCCACTGCAGGGGCAGCTGTCGTTTGGCTCCTCCTCCCTCCTCCTTCCCCCCTTCTCCTCCTCCTCCTCCTCCTCCCTCCTCCTCCTCCTCCCCCTCCTCCTCCCCCTCCTCCTCCTCCTCCTCCATCTCGGAGGTTTTCTGGCCTCGGGATGCTTTCCAGCAGCTGCGCCTCGTCGAGAGCTTTCTGGGGCTGCCCGGATCACGGCACGGCCGCTGGAGGCCCCTAGCTACGTTTTGAGCCGGCAGCCGCCAGGCGTCGAAGAGAGGGCGAAAATTGAAGGGAGGGGGTGTCGTGGTTGGGGCAACGAGACCTCCCAGATTACATGGCCACCGTTGTTCCACCTCATTAATATTCTCATGCTTCTTCTTCTTCTTCTTATTATATTCAGAGTGGGGGGGCCGAGCGGTCATTCACTGTCCCTGGGTGCGTGGCTGAAGTGGGCTTCCGCGGTGCGAATTGCTGATCCCCCCTCTCCGTCAACCATTTTTGTTCAATAGAAGTGCTCCCCTCGGGGCTCGCACCAAGTTTTTTTCAAGGGGAGGCGAGGGGTCACCAAACTACGTTGTTGGGGCTCGAGCTACAACAACAACGGCTCCCGCCTGATACGTCCTCACAAGTTATTTCTCCATTGCGCTCGCGCGGGACGTCGTCGCAATGTACGCAGGAATCGCGCTCTCGCATGGGACCTCCTCACAATTTATTCAGACGCCGCGCCCTCGATACTCAGGAATTACACCCTGGCTGTGGCCTTTTTCACGATTTAGTAGGGAATTGTGTTAGCATGTGCTAGGGAATCGTGTTAGGTCTCTTGCATTCCTCGCGATTCATGCGTTACTCACGCTTCAGCAACACGCCTTCGCGACCTGTCCGCTTGGGCCCATTTGGTTTTGCCACGTGTGTTTCTGCTCCTGGCCCCTCTCCTGCTGATCCCGTGTTCCATCCTTCTCCCTCCCGCTTCCATCCGTCCTGTCTTCCCTTGCCTCAGGGCCTGCACTAATTACACGCGGCAGGTAAGGAAGAGATGCCCCTAATGGGGCAGGATCGAAGACGAAGAGGGCGGGTACCGAGGGTATGGGACATACGGGGTGAGTGGCACGCGAGCAGGGCGAACAGTCTTGAACTGACTGTTGAACTCTCATTTCTGAAGATTAATTATTGTTGATCCCCCCTCACAGGTGCATACTGTTTTGTATCAATCAAAGTGTGCCCCTCGACTCTCGCACCCTGTTTTTTTGACAGGGGAAGTCTTGGTGGTCAAACTGTGCCCCTGGCCCCCCATATTACAACAACAACAACAACAACAACAACGGCTCCCGCCTGAGACTTCCTCCAAATTTACTCAGGACCCCCGGTCCTGAGACTTCCTCACAATTTACTCAGGATCGGTGCTCCCGCCTGCGACTTCCTCGCAATTCAGTCAGGGCCCCCGCTCCCATCTGAGACTTCCTCACATGTTATTCAGGAACGGCGCTCCCGCTTGAGACTTCCTTGCGATTGAGTCAAGACTTCTTCGCAATGTAATCAAGACCTCCGCTCCCGCCAGAGAGCCCTTCACATTTTACTCAGGAGTTACTTCCGTGCAGTTTATTCAGAAATCGCGCTTTCGACGCTCAGGAAACACGCTGCGCCAAGGACGCCGTCAAATTACTTAGTAATCGCGCTCTCGCCATACTCAGGCATCCCGCTGCCCGGCCCGCCCGTCAGGGGATCGCCTGCCCGCCGTGGGCTCCCGCCCGAAACTTTCTTCAGGAACGGCGCTTCCGCCTAGGACTTCCTTGAACGTTCACGCTCTTACCTTCCTGCTCCTCCTCCCTTTCCCTCCTCCCTCCTCCCTCCTCTCCTCCCTTCTTTCTCCCTCCTCTCTTCCCTCATCCTTATGCCTCTCTGCCCTATCCCCTCTCCCTCCTCCCTTGAGCCCTCCCCTCTCCTGCCTCCTCCCTCCATCTTTCTTTCCTTATCTATCCTCTCTCTCTCTCTCTTTCTCTACCTCTCTTATCTATATGTTCTCTCTCTCTCTCTCTATTTCTCTCTCTCTCTCTCTCTCTCTTTCTCTCTCTCTCTGTCTTTCTGCCTCTACTCGACCGCTCCCCTCTTCGCTCCGTCTCTCCTGGCGTTTTCCCTCTTCCTTCGTCCCTCCCCCTCCCTTCCTCCCACTCTCCCTCGTTCTCCCCCTCCTCTTTTTGCAGGGCCCACACCAATTCCAATGGCGGGCACATGTACGCCCACGAAGGATCGTCCGCCCGTTCAGGTTTGCCCGCCTGTCTAAGCCCGCCGCCCCCGCAAAGAGAAAGACCCCCCCCAAAAGCGGTTGTGATCAAAGTCAAAAATGGCGGATATCGAGGGTGTGGGGAACTCGTTTTGAATGACACACGGGCAAGTAAAAGCGAACAGTCTTAGAATGATTGTTGTTGTTGGTGCTGCTGCTGCTTTTTGGTGTTGTTGTTGTTTTGGTTGTTGCCCTTGAACTCTCACTGCTGGAGTTGATCCCCCCCTCCCGGGCACATGGTGTTTTTCAAGTGGAGTGCCCTCCCAGGGCTCGCACCGTTGTTTTTTATCCGAGAAATCTTTGGGCCTCAGAACTGTGTCTTTGGCACTTGGTTTACAACGACAGCGGCTCATGTCGGATATTTTTAAACTCGCGCGATGGCGCGGGACTTCCACGCAGAGTATGCAGGAGTCGCGCTCTCGCGTTGGCCTTCCTCGCAATTGATTCCGACGCCGCGCCCGCGACACTCAGGAATTACGTTCTGTCTGTGGCCTTTCTCACGATCTACTAGGCAATCGCGCTATCGCCCGAGATTTCCTTGCGACCCATGCAGGCCCCACGCTTCAGCAACCCGCCTCCTCGACCTGGCCGCCTGGGCCCGCCTTCCTGAACCGCCCGCCAGGGTCTGCCCGGCCGATATGCCCGTGTAGTTGTGCCACGTGTTTTCTTTTCCTGGCCGACCTCCTGCTAATTCCTCTCGGTTCCATCCTTCTCCCCCTCTTCCATCCGTCCTCTCCTTTTTTGTCTTATAGGACCTGCACTAAATGCGCGTGGCAGGTAAGGAAGATATGTTCCCAAGGGGGTTGTGATCAAAGACGAAGACAGCGGCTTCCGCCTGATACGTCAACTCCAATTTTTCAAGAGTCGCATTCTCGCGCGAAGTTTCCTCACAACGTGTGCAGGGATTGCGCTCTCGCGTGAGACCCCCTCGCAATTTATTCCGACGCCGCGCCCTCGGCATTCAGGAATTACGTTTTCGCTGTGGCCTGTCTCACGATGTTTGGAACTTCGTCGCGATTCATGTGCGACCCACGCATCAGGAACCCGCCTGCTCGATTTGGCCGCCTGGGCATGCCCTCCGGACCTGCCCGCTAGGGTCTACCCGCCCGATCTGCCCATCTGGTTCTGCCACGTGTTTTCTGCTCCTAGCACACCTCCTGCTAATTTCTCTCGTGCTCCATCCTCCTCCCTCCCTCGCGTCCGTTCCTTCCATCCGTCCTCTCTTCCCCGGCCTTCGGGGCTGCACGAAGTACACGGTGCAGGCAAGAAAGATATACCTCAAGGGGGTGCGATCGAAGAAGAAGAGGGCGGGTACAGAGGGTACGGGATATACGTGCCGAGAAGATAAGAGCGAGCAGTCTTAAAGTGATTGTGGTTGCTGTTGTTGTTGATTTTGTTGTTGGTGGTGTTGTTGTTGCTGCTGTTGTTGTTGATTCGGGTTTCCGTAGAAACAGCACTGGTGATCCCCTCCCTCTGGGGCATATGGCGTTTTTCAATTGAAGTGCCATTCCCGGTGCTCGCACCTTGTTTCTTACAACGGAAAGCGTGAGTCTCAGAATGATGTTGTTGGCCCCGGCTTTGTAACAACCGCGTCTCCCGCCTGATACGTCTTCACGATGTAATATTAAATCGCGCTCTCGCGCGGGGCTTCCTCATAATGTGTGCAGGAATCGCGCTCTCGCGTGGGATCTCGCAACTTATTTTGACGCCGCGCCTTCGACACTCAGAAATCACGCTCTCGCCGTGGCCTTTCCCATGATTTACTTTGGAATCGCGCTATCGCTCGAGACGTCCTCGCAATTCATGCAGGGCGCACGCTTCAGCAACCCGCCTGCTCGACCTGGCCGCCTGGGCATGCCTTCCTGACCAGCCCGCTAGGGTCTATCCGCCCGATCTGCCCGTCTGGTTCTGCCATGTGTTTTCTGCTCCTAGCTCCCCTTTCTGCTTTTTTCTCTCGTGCTCCATCCTCATCTTTCCCCCCTGCCCCTTGCTTCCATCCGTTCTCTCTTTCCATGCCTCAGGGGCTGCACGAAGTACACGTTGCAGGTAAGAACGGTATCTCTCTCTCTCTATATATATATATATATGTATATATATAGATGTATACACGCACCCCAAGGGGGTACAAACGAAGACGAATAAGGCGGGTATCGAGGATTTGGGATATACAACATGTTGAACGGCAGGTGAGCGAAGAAGAGCGAACCGTTTACAAATCAGTCTTGGCGTTGCCGTTGTTGTTGGTATTGTTGTTGGTGGTGCTGTTGGTGTTGTTGTTGATGTTGATGCTGTTGCTGTTGATGGTGCTGGTGGTGTTGCTGCTGCTGTTGTTGTTGGTGGTGTTGATGTGTGTTGATGCTGTTGTTGTGGATGTTGTTGCTGGTGTTGATGTTGTTGGTGGTGGTGTTGTTGCTGCTCGTGTTGTTCGTGTTGTTGTTGGTGGTGGTGGTGTTGGTGTTGGTGTTGTTGTTGTTGTTGTTGTTGTTGTTGTTGTTGTTGTTGTTGAACTCTCATTCTTGAAGAATAATTATTGTTGATCCCCACCCACCGGTGCACATTGATTTTTTTCGATTGAAGTGCCACCCCCGGGGCTCGCACCTTGTTTTTTTCTCAAGGAAAGTCTTCCTGCTCAAACTGTGCCCCTGCCCCCCGGGCTACAACAACAACGGCTCCCGCTTGAGATTTCCTCGATTTTTACTCAGGACCCCCGCTCCCGCCTGAGACTTCCGCGCAATTTACTCAGGAAAGGCGCTCCCGTCTGAGACTTCCTCGCAATGTAATCAAGACCCCCGCTCCCGCCTGAGACTTCCGTGCAATTTACGTGGGAACGGCGCTCCCGCCTGAGACTTCTTCGAATTTTACTCAGGACCCCCGCTCCTGCCTGACATTTCCGCGCAATTGACTCAGGAACGGCGCTCCCGCCTGAGACTTCCTCGCAATTTAGTGAGGACCCCCGCTCCCGCCTGAGACTTCCGTGCAATTTGCTCAGGAACGGCGCTCCCGCTTGAGACTTCCTCGCAACTTAGTCAGGGCCCCCGCTTCCGCTTGAGATTTCCTCACAATGTACTCAGGACTGCGCTCTCGCGTGCGACGTCCTCACAAATTATTCTGGAATTGCGTTTCGGCGCTCAGGAACCACGCACGCGCCAAGGACGCCTTCACAACGTGGTATCTTCCCTCTTCCTTCGTCCTTCCCCCTCCCCTTCCTCCCACTCTCCCTCGTTCTTCCCCTCCTCCTCTTGCAGGGCCCGCGCCAATTCCAATGGCGGGCAGAGAGATGTACGCCCCCGAAGGATTGTCCGCCCGTTCCGGTTTGCCCGTACGTCTAAGCCCGCCGGCCCCAGCAAAGAGAAATAATCCCCCCGAAAGGGGTGTGATCGAAGACGAAGAGGGCGGGTATCGAGGGTGTAGGGTATACGTGTTGAATGACTCGCGGGCAAGTAAGAGCGTACAGCCTTAAAATGGTTGTTGTTGTTGTTGTTGTTGCTGTTGCTGTTGCTGTTGCTGTTGTTGTTGTTGTTGTTGTTGTTGTTGGTGTTGTTGTTGTTGTTGTTTGTTGTCGTCGTCCCGCCCGCGACCTGGCCTGCGACCCACCCGCAACCCCTCTGCGACCAACCCCCGCGACCCACCCGCGACCCACCCCGCGACCCACCCGCGACCCACCCGCGACCCACCCGCGACCCCCCGTGACCCACCCCGCGACCCACGCGCGACCCCGACCCACCCCGCGACCCACTCGCGACTCACGCGCGGCCCACCCCCGACCCACCCACAACACACCCGCGACCCACCCCGAGACCCACCCGGACTCGCCCGTGACCCACCCGCGACCCACCTCGCGCCCGCCCTTTCATTCTTATCCGCATCTGCGGGGTGCTACATTCCTCTTATTGTTTTACCTGATAGTTGCCGATATAAGTTCTCAATCCGCTGCACCAGGAAGTCTGGCCCCGTGTTTGATGGTCCTGCGGCCCGGACACGGCCGCCGAGGGCCTAAACCGAGGAAAAGTTGCCTGTCGAGAAAATTATGTCGCCAGAGAGTTGGGTTTCTTGACATCCCCCTCCTCCCCCTTCACCCCTGCACGTGCCTGGGTCATGTTTAGGGGCGGCGCTAGGGGGGTATAGGCTCAAGGGGGAATATATGATCTAGGGTTGCCCCCCCAATTCATATCGGGTTGAGCCCGCTGGATGGGTACGCTCGTGAGCCTCGCGACGGCCTCGCAAATCGAGCACTCCCCCCCCAACTATGGTCGTGGCGCTATGGGCGTGGCGTGGTGGAGGGTGCTGGTGCACTCCCCCTCCCCCGCTAGGTGTGGGTTGGTTCGGCGTCGTCGTCGTCGTCGGCGTCGTCGTTGTCGTTGTCGTAGTCGTCGTCGTCGTCGTCGTCGTCGTCGTCGTCGTCGTCGTCGTCGTCGTCGTCGTCGTCGTCGTCGTCGTCGTCGTCGTCGTCCGTCGGCGTCGGCGGCGTTGGCGTCGGCATCAGTCGGCGTCGGCGTCGGCGTCGGCGTCGCTGTCGGCGTCGTCGGCATCGGCGTCGTCGGCGCTAGCGTCGGAAGCGTCGGCTTCGGCATCGGCGTCGGCGACGGTGTCGGCGTCGGCGTCGGCGTCGTTGTCGACGTCGGTGTCGTCGTCGTTGGCGTCGTCGTCGTCGTCTTTGCCGTCGTCGGCGTCGGCGTCTGCGTCGTCGTCCTTCCTCTGGGGGGCGGGGGTCCGTGGAACCCTGGGAGCCGTCCCATCTGGGGGGGGCCGCTTGTGAACCCTCGACCTGGGATCATATCGACTCCCAATCGCTCATCTATCGCGGATAGGGGCCAGATGGCCCGGTTGATAGCCCAAACCCGCGCAGGAACGTGTGGCTCCGCTATCGGTGGCTTGTCGCCGATCTATCGGCGAGGTATCGCCCGTTGCGGCGATGTGTCGCTGATTGCAGCTCGATGTTTCCCCCGGTGAGCTTGCCCCCCCCTTGAATTATAACCCTGAAATTTCAAGTCGCGAGAAATCACGCCCGCAGCCCCAGAACCCATCTGCTGCTGCATTTCCCGAGCCCGATCGATCTGTGATGGCCCCGGGGGCCGGAACCAGGCGAAAGCGCCCAGCGTGAAAACATTGCAGCGCCCCAGTCCCAGGGAACCCAAGCGCTGCTCTGATGTTGTGTTCGATACGGTGTCCCAGGGAGCCCCGACCCTTTCCCCAGGGCCGCCTTCGCACGCATCCCGAGCCGTTTCTCGACGGCCCCGGGGCCCGGCCGGGACCCCCAGAGGCTGCAGTCGGGCAAGAACGCTCGCCGCGGTGGTCGTTCTTTTATCCATTGGTTTGCCGATCGGCGCGGGCCCTCGCACCCTTCCCCTCCCCCCCCTCCATGGAGTAGATCTTGGCTCTTGTTGGCGCCTGCTCCGAGCAGGCGGAGTCTCCCCCATGGGACGCACGGCCCCGAACCGTCGCACCGAGCAGAGGCCTGGAGGCCGACCCCTGCCCCCCCCCCCCTTCCGCCCACTGTCGAAACGCCGGTTAAGAAGAAAACGCTCGCCGTGTTCCTCCCCGACGCGAGCATGTCTGGCAACGCTGTGGAGGACGATCTCTGGAGAGGAAGCATGTCGCCAAATGATTCCCAGATGTCTAGCAAACGTGCTAAACATTTGGAGAACAAAGAAAACGTGTGTAGAAGAACTTGCTCAGAACAGTGCCAACATCCATGCTACATGCAACGATAAGACTGTCGAGGGCGTCCCTTGTCGTGGCAGCCCACAGTGGCAGCGTCCCCCTCCGATGCGGTGCCCCCCGCCCCTCTCTGGCGCGCCGGCCGCCGGACATCGAATTCAAGGCAGGGGTCGACTGCCTCGCAGAGAACAGTTTAAAGGCCCCTGCCTCTGTCGACTGCCTCGCAGGGAGCAATTTCAAGGCAGGGGTCGACTGTCTCTGCGAGGCAGTCGACCCCTGCCTTGAATTCGATGCCGGCGCCCTGGACCCCACCGCCCGCCCCTCGCCCGACGCGCCCCCCCCCCCGCCCCCCCCTCCCTTGCCCCCCTGCCCTTCCCCCTTCCCCTTACCCTTCCCGCCCCCGCCCTCCCCTTCCTTCCCTTGCCGCCCCCCTCCCTTCCCCAGGGGAGGAGGAGGAAGGAGGACGAGGAGGAGGGGGAGGAGGAGAAGGAGGAGGAGGAGGAGGAGGGGAGAAGAGGAGGAGGGAGGAGGAGGAGGAGGAGGAGGGGAGGAGGAGGAGAGGAGGAGAGGGACAGGAGGAGGGGGAGGAGGAGGGGAGGAGGAGGAGGAGGAGGAGGAGGAGGAGAACGAGGAGGAGGAGGAGGAGGGGGGAGGAGGAGAGAGGAGGAGGAGGAGGAGGAGGAGGAGAGAGTGGAGGAGGATGCCCTTCGCTCCCTTCCCTGCCGCCGCCGAGAGGCCGCGGGCGGCGTGCCGAGCCGCTGGGCGGCCGACGCGGCGGCGCCCTCCCGCGCGGCCTGGCAGAGGAGCCGGGCGCTGCCCGGCGGGGCCTCCTCCTCCTCCTCCTCCTCCTCCTCCTCCTCCATTCTTCTCCTCCTCCTCCTCCTCCTCCTCCCTCCTCCTCCTCCCTCCCTCCTCCTCCTCCTCCTCCTCCCTCCTCCTCCTCCTCCTCCTCCTAGTCGCTGTTTGAGGTGCCCAAGAGTCGACCGACCGCACCTCAGGTACAATCGTACACCAGCGATTCTGCGCCCACACCCGCAGGTCTCGGGGGCAGGGGAGACTGGGGGGCCCGCATGGCGTGCCCGTGCGCCTAGGCATGAGAATCTGCTACTACAACCCACAAGAGGCAGCGAGCATAGAACGACTGGAGGACATCAGCGTGGAATTGCACAGCTGGGACGTCGTCCTCCTCAGCGGAACATGCAGATGGGCGGGAGCAGAAGCAGTACAGAGACACTACCTCCCTAACCACTACGTGTTACAATTTGGTGCTCGCAAGGGGAAGTGGATTAACAAAAGCTGTGGCTTAACGATCCTCATCAGCCAGAGAATCGACGAGCGCAGTTTACGAGAAATCTACACCCCACCAACCAGCCTCCAGGGACGGGTTGCAGGAATTCGCCTCTCGACGGGCCAACACGACTATGTTTTTTTTGTTTATTACTACGCCCCAACACATCTAGCGTACTACGTGCCATTAGCAGAAGCGATTACCAAATGGTTGGAGCAGTGTGTCGATAGAGCAGGCAGCCGTACGACGATTGTGATGGGTGGGGATGTGAACAGTGACTTTGGTTGCCAGAGAGAAGCAGACGGGACTATTGTGCGGAGCAGAGGACCGACGGTAGGAGACAGGGAACCCAAAATAGAGAATGCCAACGGCACGAGTTTGAGGACCCTGTGCCAGACCAGCGACCTTAGCATAGCTACCACCTACCACATCGCCGAACCTACATTCTACGGACATTCAGGATACAACAGTCGTATTGACCACATAGTTGTACCGACAGGGGCCCTGGGACTAGTAAAAAGGTGTGAGGTCCTCCATCGGTCAGGCAAAAGACTCCAAAAGGTCAAAGTACGAGGGCACAGGGACCACCTCCCCATCGGCCTCACCCTCCTCGTCACCACCTCCAACACCGCCTTCCCCTCGCGCACCCGCCTACAACAGGGACTGTGCAGGGACGGACTCATGGAGTGTCTGCGCAGCGGCCACAAGAGGGAGATGCTGCTCACCGAACTCGACAAGGAGGTGGAGGAGGTGGGTGGGGAGCAGTGGGAGAGAGCTCTGGGAGCGACGACGCCAGACGAAACCTGGGACCTTCTGGGAGGAGCAGCACGATCGGCCATGCTTAGGACTTTCGGAAGAAGTGGCACACCCGACGAAACCGACCAGCTTACGAAGCGAGCCAAGCAATACCGACTCGAGCTCCTTACGAAGCGACGAACACTGCGACAGAGCCTAACACCAGAGCAGTGTGCCGACGACTACGAGTGGGTACAAAACGAGCTGAAAGAAGTTACGGCGGCGCTGAAGCAGGCCCGAGAAGGTGTAGAGAAACAAAGACGGGCGCTCCTGGTCGAACGTATATGGGAGGCCTACGAAAAACGGAACCTCGCCGAGATGCACCGACTACGCATCCAGTACCAGAGGAACGGGCGCGGTCCAAAGAAAAGGTACTATCGATCTGCCCGAACCCACTGGCCTTGCGACTACTGGTATCAGGAGCTCGCCCATCCAGCATTGGAAGGGGGACTAGGAGCAAGGCCTATCGACAGAAAGGCAGAGAGAGAAGCACATGAGGCCTTTGTCCAGGAACACATCGACCGACTACCGACCGACCACGACCTTCTTTTTCAGGTCGAGGCCGACAAGCGAGCGATGCGTAGGTACTGCCAGCGAGCCAGCAAACGACGGGCCTGGCCACCATGGGGCATCCCGATCGAGATGACATGGTTGATGATCGATCCCACCCTTCATCTTCAGGACCCAGCAGAGCTCAGCAGACGATTAGAAGAAAAGCGAGTAGCAGCTGCAGGAAAAAGGGGGGATGAAGATGAGCTTGCACACTACACGACACTGGGGCGATGCAAGAAGGGGAGGGAACTGCTCCGACGGATGGGTTGGACGGAAGGCACCAGACTGGGACGTGTGCCGACAGCGACTGACGGGACAGAAGGGCCCGCCTGGGAGCAGCAATCATATGCAGTGGGGAGGGGCAGATACGCAGGACTAGGTGCAGACACGATTGCGGGCCACAGTAAAGGGTACGTGAAGTACCTAGACCAATTCCTCTTACAATGCAGAAGCTGTCAGGTCACCCCGCTGGACTGGCACCGATCACAAGCATTCCCAGCAGAGAAACACAACAACAAAGAAGGGATACTAGGGAAACGTATACTACATGTCTACGACTCCTTTGGAATGGCTTGGCATTCAGGTATCCACGCACGTGGCTCACCTACAACGCAGGCACCCTGGGCCCAAGGAGGCCTCCCACACCACTGTCGGGAAAACGCCATCCTCTGCGTACAAGCGGCCCAATGGAGGGCCGCGCAAGCGGGGGTGAGCACAGTCACAACCAACTATGACGGCACCAACGCGTTTGCAGCCACCAACCGAGCTTTACTTAGAGCGGTTGCCTTCAGGCAAGCACACGAGCACGACCAGCGCTTCGCCATGGCAGCAATCGACCACTCTACCCTGACGCTCGAAGCTGCCGACGGCACAGTCGAAGCAGAGAGCACCACAGGGGCCCAAATTGGCTTCACTCTATGCCCAAGGCAATTCAACGACGCATACAACCTGTACGTCACAAAATGGTGGGAACAAGGCCGCACAGACCCAGACCAGATCATCCACAACACGACCAACCCAGTCGAAGGAAACACCCACGACTTAGCTCTCAACACGTTCATGGACGACATCACCTATGTGCAGACAATACCACCCGCAGCGACGGCTGGAGACATTGAAAAACAACTCAACAACAACACCGAACGACTGTCCCAAACAATAGCTGCAGGAGGATGGGGACTCAATAATGCAAAGACCAACCACCTACTATACCTCGTAGGGCAGGGCTGCCACGGGAAAACCAGACAACTAAGGCGCAGCAAAATACTGCAGGGTCAGGCGCTCAGGGAAATGCGGGTACTAGGCCCCTACCTACCAGCTGGACAGGGCATCACTGGCGAGGTCGTGCGGCGCATCGCAGCCATCCGCGTTGCATGGCGACAATGCGGGATCTTTTGGACCTCTAAGGTACCCCGACAAATAAAACGCATGATGTTCATGGCCTTCGTGGTAGGTGCGGCCCTCAGCGGTTTACCCGCGCTAGTTCTGACAGATGCCCACGCAACAGCTATCGACAGCGTACTAGGCAAGTACCTACGGACGCTAGCGGGAGGAGCAATGTCGTGGACTAGAACAGATGGGACAGTGAGGTGCAACAACTTGCGACAGGTGTTCAGATATTGGAGACTTGAGCGCACATCCGTCTCTTTGCTTGTGCGACGCCTACGGTGGTACCAGAACTGGTCAAGGCACCCTTGGGAGCACGGAGCAGTCATTGCAGCGGTGTTCGGAACATCCAGATTAGACGCAGCTCAGGGCATACGCCGACTTGAGGGGCAGGGATTTGTGGGGCCTACCTCCACCCCGTGGGCACAGCAGTTTGCAGCCGACATGCATGTGATAGCAACAGTGGACGAGAGCATGGGATGGTACGCAGACAGGGAATCCTACCTCGCTATATTCGAACAGGGGAGTACGGAACAAAAAAACTGGTTACAAACAGACCCATCAATATTGTACAGTTACGAGCGAAATTGGGATGTGCTCACGACACGAGATGCGACGATACAGGGAGGGGGGGGGGGGGAGGGCAGGGAGGAGGATACACTAAAACCATACTGGTGCGATCATACGACGAAGGGCGAAAACGACACAGAGCAGAGGTGTGGCATGCGCTTTGCGACATACGCAGCACTAGCTGGGCATCGCCGAGAGACCCACAACATCCGACCAGTGGTGGCGTCCGTAATCGTCAACAACCAATGTCCCTGGTGCAAGAGCACATTTATTAACCGTAAGGTATGTGTCGACCACGCAGTCAGGGCAGTACATAGCCACGGTATCTGCCACCAAGACAGGTCGATGTGGTCCCACCCCATTTCCGACCCCAGCTCCCTTAGCTGCCAGATCTGTAACCACGAGGCTCAAACTCTTGAGGACTACCACGCACACATACGTGAGCACATTGCAGGGCCAGAGTCGATCAGAGCAGCACGGGGAGAAGGAGCACATGTCGCACGTGGGCCAAGGCGACTGGCGCATCAGGGCCAGCACGAAGAGAGGAGGAGGCGCAGCCGAAGGGCAGCGACCAGCACAGCGCCCGCACCTCGGCGGCGGAGTCGGCTCGTCAGACACGCAGCAGTCGCAGCAGACACCGCAGCAGCCGCCTCCCACCCAGCGCCGAGGAGGAGGAGGTCGAGGACCCCCAGGAGGCGGCCGCGGTGGGGGAGGAGGCGGCCAAGTGGAGCTGCGGGACCAGCTGAGATCGCTCCAGAGGCTCACTCTCCAGAACTCGAACGAGATACGCAACTTCCTGCACGTCACGGGAGAGTTCTGGCTGACGCCGCTCGAACCAGAATGGGTGCAGGCGCCGATGGAGACAGGCAGGGAGTACGGGCGGAAAGTAAAGCAGCTGGGCAAAGGGCACGGCCTTGGCCCACCACACGGCCAGGTGGCGGCGAGTCTAGTCGAGGAGATCGTGGCGGTTCTCGATACGGAGGAGCAGCAACTAGACGCGTCCCCCCTCCACGTGAGACAGCTACTGAAGGAGTTCATGAGCCAGCTCGACGAGCCCTGGGGACCAATCTTCATCACGGAGGTCTTCTTGCAGTGCAAGATCCAGGAGGCATACAACAAGACGGGCGAGGACGTGGAGATTGACATCAAACAATGCAAGGCCAAGCTCATCTACACGATCAACACGGCGCCGAGCTTCAGGGCCGCGCTGTA